GTTTGGCATCAAATCCTAGTCTCTTGGCTGCTGTAATGTCTATGCAACAAGTTGTTTTTCTGGCATAGGTGCTAGTGTATTTGAACTACACATTTAAATAGTTCTTTTAGGTATTATCTTGCAATGAAAAATGTTTTACAAATCATTTTTTAAGTTTATTTTTGCCATGAGAAAGGGAGATAGAGAGTGAAAGAAAGACAGATAGGCACCCAGCACAGTCTTCATGGCACATTTATAGCCCCAGTCTTAGCCAGCCAGGGTCATGGGCGTGCTTGTGTCCAGCTTATACAGAGAGACCTCAGGAAACAAGCCCAGGACCTTCAAAATAGTGCCTCAGCACCACTGCAGCTGACTAAAAGTCATTTAAAAACCAGTAAACTCCACTTCTATCAAGTGTCATCTTAGAATATAAGCCCATCAGTTGTTTCTGCTTTTACTTTCATCTTGCTATTTTCTTGATTCTTTAAGTCAAGTGATAGGATTTCGTAATTAGAAATATTTTGTGTGTAAGGCTTTTTTACTTGCATTCAAGGGTTGAAAAGTCAATTGACCTTGGGAACCAGCAGTTAGCGTAATGGCTATGTCACTGGACTCCCACGTAGTTGACCGCGGTTCACGTCCCAGACCCAGTGACTTAAAACTCACGCTGGGTGCGTATGCGTGCGTGCCCAAGATCCCTAGAGGAGAATGGAGGAGTAGGGATTGCGGCATGACCATCCCCCCTGGGGGGTGATTTCTCGCTTTCTGTCTCTCTGTCTCTCTCTGTCTGTCTGGCGAGCGCACGTGCCCTATAGTGAAAACCTCTCAAAAAAAAAAAAAAAAGTCAATTGACCTTGTATCAGGATTCTCTCTAGCTAAAAAATGTTTTTTTTTTTTTTTCTACTACACATACAACCACAGTTAGGGGAGGGGAAAGTGATAAGCATTTAAGATACTAAACAGTAAGCTGCCATTCATTTCTTTTCATTTTAGAGTGGTTAGTCTGTAGTTAAATAACAAACTAACAAAAATCCATTGAGATCATTTGTAACACTAGTAGACAGAAGGGAAGAAACCCAGTAGCAAAATACAGAATTAAAATCTAAACATGGAGTCTCTAAGCAAGATAAAAGAGAGAAGAGCCAGTTTAGAACTTTGGCCATTGTGGAGTTACTTTTTAATTGTCAGACTGTTGATAAGAAAAAGGTATTCTGAGACCAGATGGTGGCATAGCAATAAAATGCAATGCTCTGTGAGGCTGGCTCACATGGGAGAGTTCTGAGTTCGTATCTTGAGACCTCCCTGAGTGTACTAGGCATGTGTTGGCGCATGAGCCAGGGCTGGCTAAGGCTAGGGCTACATGTGTATGTATACGTGTGTGTGTTTGTCTGTGTCTGTGTGTCTTTCTGTCTCTGTTTCACTTACTTGGAGAAATAAACTTAAAAAAGAAAGAAAGAAAAAAGTATTCTGCCTTCTCCAACCCCTGCATTGTTCATGTCTCAAGTACCTTTGGTTTCTTGCCCCAGCACCTGGTTGGCCTGTTTTTTCAACAGCATTCTGTGTAGATAGTCATACATTTATTCTTCATCGAGATATACCTCTCCTTTGTTTCTTTTCTGAAGGCCTTAACAGGTGACTTATCATTCTGAAGATAAATAAACAATAATAATTAATTTGTGTATTGTGACAAAAAAATGAATGTATCATCACTTTGTTTTGACCTGTACTATCTTTTCTTAAAGAACATGATTGGATATAATATGTCTTAACCCAAAGAAATAAATCTAATAATGAAGCTTTTAAGCAGACACAAACATATTCCACTGGAGAAGAAATTTTCGATCAAATGTATGTCAGTACCACAATTATAAGAAGGCAGCAATATATTTTAGTATTTTCTAGATAATGTAACAGAAATTTACCAGCACCTCAAATTTGACCTGAACTGTGATGGAGGAGAATGAATAATCCTTTGTATTGACAATTCCTTCACACACACATAAAAATGGAAACAATATATTACATTTGAGTATCCACATGTCAAACTGAAGTTTTCCATGAAACAAATAAGTAGAAGGTAGAAATATATGATTATCGATGTCTTAGAGTATACTTAAGTGGCGTATGGCTACGATGTTTTGAACGGAGAAGGATGTATTTACAGCTGTTCCAATGTTTCTCAGCTGTGGCAGACCGTATTCCCAAGAGAATCCTGCTGAGGGGACCCTGAAGAGAAGTGGTGCTGCTGCTCAGACTGCGAGCAGGACAGGTAATTTATTGTTTGGTATTCTTGAAAAGGACTTGGGGGGCAGCAGGTGACATGGTGGTTAAGGCAGCTGGACTCCCACATGGCCGACCATGGTTCAAAATCCAGACCTAGTGGCTTAAATCCATACCAGGTGCATGTGCATGCATGCCCAAGATGCCAGGAGGAGCATGAAAAAAGGGGTTGCGGCATGACTATTGGGGGTGATTTATCACTTTTCCTTTCACTATCTTACTCTGTCTCTCTCAAGCGAGTGAACACACCTCAAGGCAAAATCATAAAAAAAAAAAAAATTAACAAGACTTTCTTTTTCCTGGCCAAATATTCCTAATTTTTTAAATCACAAAATTTAAGTGATAATATTCCTAATTTTTTAAATCACAAAATTTCCTAATTTTTGAAATCACAAAATTTAAGTGATAAGAAAATCTGTAGTTTGACTATTGTTAATCAGATTAAAGTTTTAGTGCAAAGTTGTTCGACATGTTTCTCTATGTCTATACACAAATGTACATTTTTAACAAAAAATGAGAGATCATTTTATATTAATAAATAATAGAACTATGTAGAAATTTTACATTGCTACCTTGGATGTCAGAGTGCCATCCATTTTAGTGAACTCTGGAGACTGCCTTTGCATTTGCAGACCTTGCTTATGCGACAGTAAACTTAGCAGTTTTTCTTTCAAGCAGTATGACAAAGACATCAGTAACAGAGGCATTGCAGCCTGGTTCACATCCTCACTCTGCTACCTGCTTGCCTGTTATCTTAATGTCTGTACCTCAGGACCTTCATCTGTGGAATGGGGATAACTGTGACTACCACACAGGGCTGTCGTGAGAATTATATCACTTAACATATGTAGAGCACTTGTGCTAATTATTCTACCTGAGGCCCTGTTGGTAGTGTGTTCTTATTACTATAATAAGTACAACTCTGCGTATATTGATGCAAACCTGGGGACTTGCTTCTGTTGGTGCTGAACATTCACAGAGTAGTAAAGAAAGCTTCTATCAGCTGTAGACTTTAGGATGATGGAGTTACCTAGGAATAATTGCTAAACCTCAACTTCTGTATTCCTTGGTATTCACCAATAAATATTGATTGATTACTTTCTATGAGAATGTCATGCTATGGGGGACATACACAAAATTTAAGTGACAGGAAAATCAAAATGGTCTATATTACTGTCATTAATCGGATTAAAGGTTTAATGCACAGTTGGGCAAAATGTTTCTCTACATCTATACACAAATGTCTATTTAACTACAATGATAAATCTGATACTATAGCATTCTTAGGACTCAGAGTACTTCCTTTTCTGTGTCCCTGCTATTCCCTAACTCTATTGGGATTCATAGAGTAAGGAGAGTGTTTCACCTCTTTGCAGTGATGTAAAGCTATGACCTGGGAGTGTGGCTTTCTCATTTTTTTCTACAGTTCTGGGATTGAAACTTGTCAATTAATTATATTTTCATTTTGTACCTAATTCTAATTTATAAGCAGTTACATGAGAAAGATGGAAAGAAACTAGGTCCTTAAAAAAGTCCTACAAAATATTTGGGGACCAGCAGATGGTATAATGGTTACATCACCGGGCTCCCACATAGTAGGCCATAGTTTGAGTCCTGGACCCGACAGGTTAAAACTCACGCCAGGCACATGTGTGTGCATGCCCAAAATCGCTAGAGGAAAATGGAGGAGAAGGATTGCCCCCAGGGGGTAGTTTCTTTCTGTCTCTCTGGTGAACGCATGCACCTGATAGCAAAAAGTCTCTCAAAAAAAAAAAAAAAGGAAGAAGAAAAAAGTCCTACAAAATATTTCTTACTGGAAAAGACTACATAACAAAGGCCATTATTCAATAGCTACTCATGAAAAACAGTTAGTAATGGTTAAGGACATAAACTTAGACTGCCTAAAGCAATCTTAAAAAAGGAGAACCAATTAGATAAGATACATTACCTGTTTTCAGGGTTTAAGCTATAGTAATCAAGACATGTAATACCAGCCTCCAGAGGAGCAAATAAATCAAACAGAACAGATCAAATAGTAGTCAGCAAATTAAATCTATACCTACATGTGGTTATTTGAGTTTTGATGAAGAGCAATCCAGTGGTTGAGAAAAGATGAACTTCACACACTACCTTATACTATGTAACTCAGTATTCTGAGATGGGACATAGATGTAAAAGCTAAAATGATAAGGCTTCTGGAAGAAAGCATAAAATATCTTTGTGACTTTGGGGAAGACAAAGATTTTTTTACACTGTGAAAAGCAATAACCATAAAAGAAAAAAAAAAAAAGAAAACAAAACCTTAGATTTCATCAAAAGTCAAAAATACAGGAACTACTGGGAACCAGCAGTCAGCGTAATGGCTATGTCACTGGACTCCCATGTAGTCGACCGTGGTTCATGTCCCGGACCCGGTGGCTTAAAACTCACGCCGGGCGCGTGTGCGTGCGTGCCCAAGATCCCGAGAGGAGAATGGAGGAGAAGGGATTGCGGCGTGACCATCCCCCCGGGGGGTGATTTCTCGCTTTCTGTCTCTATGTCTCTCTCTGTCTGTCTGGCGAGCACACGCGCCCTACAGTGAAAATCTCTCAAAAAAAAAAAAAATACAGGAACTACTGTCAAATGTTCTCAGTTCAAGTTCTGGCTGTAAAATTTACTAGCTCTTTGACTTTAAAGAATTGACTAATCCAATCTGTGCTTCAATTTCCTGTCTCCAAAGTAAAGATGATAATAATATATCCTTGCCTGATGGGATTGTTGAGAGGATTAAATGTGTTAGTGCCAATAAGAACTTCAAGTGTTACCCAGCACATAAGAAACATTCAATAAACTTCATTCAGGGACTGCATTCAGCTAAGAAACCTCTTGAGATCTTTGCCTGGGAGAATGTTCCCAAGACACTCATTATTTTCTGATGGGCCTTTTAGTTAAGCACAGTTTACTGTTGACTGAAGTGGGAGATGGTGGGGGGAAAGATAAAGAAGGAAACTAGAGTCTTGAGGAACAAGGATAGTCATGTAGGATCTTCCTGGCTTCTCCACATATGCCATCATTGCAAGTTCTGTAAACCACTGTTTTCCTGGTTGTGTCATCTCATTTTCTCCCACCTTGAGCACCCATTATACAATTAGTGTTTTAGCCATCTACTCGGTTTAACGTACTGGGAGAGGAACAGAAGAAAAAAACATATGAAGTCATAGGGCTTTTGAAAGTTATACTCCTGGGCCAGCAGATAGCGCAGTTAATTCACTAGACTCCCACATGGCCGACAACAGTTCGAGTCACAGAACTAGTGGCTTGAAACTCACACTGGGTGCATGTGCGTACGTGCCCAAGATCACAGGAGGAGAATGGAGGAGAAGGGATTGCAGCATGGCCATCCCCCCTAGGGGATAATTTCTCACTTTTCCTCTCACTGTCTCAGTTTCTCCCTTTCCCTGGCAAGTGTACATGCCCTATGCCAAAAACCTCTAAGAAAAAAAGAAAAGCTATAACTACTGATCTAAAAATGATTATTGATGTATTGTTTAATGTCACCCACATCACTGATCATAATTCCCATCTATTTTATGTAGTTTAAAAATGTGTGTTTTTTTCCTATCCTGAACCTGACCCTATATTATTGGTATATAAACTCATGACAGCAGTATCACCCTAAATTCATTATTTACTGTATGCATTTTAGGAAAATTCACTTAAAAGAGTTTGCAGACCACACAATAAACTGTTCTCTTTTGATTTCAGATGACACTGCCCAGGTTACCTCTGACTATGAAACCAATAACAACAGTGACAGTAGTGACATCGTACAGAATGAGGATGAGGCTGAGTGCCCACAAGAGCCACTGAGGAAAGCTTCAGCCTGCAGCAGCTACGCTCCTGACGCCATGATCTTCCTGGTAGCCCTCTATCACTTACCACAGTCATTTACTTGAGAGATGGGCTTCAATTCCAGACATTGGCTTAGAAATAGATGGCCAAATCATCCGACTTACAGATAAATCTCACTGGGATCATGCATGTACATAGCGTCTTTAAAACGTTCATGGAAAAATGCATACTATAAAAAAACTTTTTGCACCAAAATAAACTCATCCCCTAATTCCATCTTTGAATGAACTCTTTGATGTCCATACTGTAGTCCTACCCATATGTATCAGTATAATTCTTCTCTCTCCAAGCCTTATTGATCTCTTAATGGTTCTATTATTCGGTGATTAAAAGCATAAGTATTTATCTTTATAATGATTATAGCTATTTCTTAATCCAAATGAAAAAGAGTAAATGTGTAGGG